CACATGGATATATTCACAACCTGTGTGAAATGGCCCAGTGAATCTCACTTAGAAACTATCCATTATTTTGAGCCAGAGATAAAAGTTTGAAACAGCCGGGCGGTGGTGGCGCACGCCTTTAATCCCAGCACTCGGGAGGCAGAGCCAGGCGGATCTCTGTGAGTTCGAGGCCAGCCTGGGCTACCAAGTGAGTCCCAGAAAAGGCGCAAAGCTACACAGAGAAACCCTGTCTCGAAAAACCAAAAAAAAAAAAAAAAAGTTTGAAATATCTTTCACTTCCCAGACACCATTTTATTTCATTTGGGTTTCTTTCTTTTTTTTTTTTTAATGCCAAATGCTGTTTATTGAAGGAGGGAAGAGGTCTTAAATACAGGCTTACAGCACAATGGGAGAACCCTGGAGGGCGGAAGTTCGTTACCGATGTTTAACAATCTTACATCTAAGTCATTTGGGTTTCTAAATGAACTTATCTTTGAAATAATTACTCATTCTTGATACTGTCTAATACTGCTGACTCATGGAAGCTGATTTGATTCCATCTTTGTTTTTGAAATGTATACATCCTTTATTGTCAATTTGCTTTTGCAACCTTGGAAGGAGCTTCCCCACCCCCCAATCTTCACTAAACCTTGACAGATTTTAATTAATTAATTAAGCTTTGTTGGGGTGGAACTGAGCCATGACATAGGTGCTAGGAACTGAATCCAAGTCCTCTATGAGTAGCCAGTACTCTTAACCTCTGAGCCACTACAACAAACTCTTTTGCCTTTAAAAAGTTGTATCTAGCTGGGCAGTGGTGGCACACACCTTTAATCCCAGCACTTGGGAGGTAGAGGCAGGCCTAACTCTGTGAGCTCTAAAGAGCGAGACCCAAGACAGGCACCAAAACTACACAGAAAAACCCTGTCTTGAGAAAAAAAACAAAAACAAGTTGTATCTAGTGCCTAGCTAAGTGTGAATGTAAATTGGTGAAGGCACTTGCCACTAAGCCTGATGATCTGAATTCTATCCACATCACGGAAACAGAGATTTGGTTCAATCTTGTTTTTATTGAAAATAACTAGATATAAAGCAAGGAAATCAAACTGCAACCCATAGATCCAGGGAGGCTACCTAGCAGGGGGGACCCTAGGATGGCAGTGGCTTATAATAAGTTTTGGTTTTGCCCAGTTACTGGGCAAGCTTTAGTGAAACATTTCATTATTAGGATAAAGAAGCTGTACTGTATCAAGCTGATGAAAGAAAATGCTGGCCATACTTTTAGGAGGGGATTTAGATTATGGATTAGCCTATAGAAAAATGTCTGCCATAAATCAAACAGTGAAGGGGAAGATGAATAGGAATCTCTTACACAACTTAAGTAAAACATAGCTCTCTGAACAGGTGAAGATAAGTATCTTCTGTATCCCAGAATCTAATCAATATTTATAATTCAGCTATCATTTGGCTTAAAAGGGCTCATTGGGAAATGTTATCATTTTTACTGTTTTCTACAGAGAAAATATTTTACTGTTTAAAATAACCCTGGACTTTGGAATTATAACCTTTTTTAAGTTCAAGCTATCTATGTATTATTTCTCCTGCAGTTGTACAAGGCCGGGCGGTGGTGGCCAACACCTTTAATCCCAGCACTCGGGAGGCAGAGCCAGGTGGATCTCTGTGAGTTCGAGGCCAGCCTGGGCTACCAAGCGAGTCCCAGGAAAGGCGCAAAGCTACACAGAGAAACCCTGTCTCGAAAAACGAAAAGAAAAAAAAAAAAAAAAAAAAGGACAAATAAAAAAATTTTTTTGAGGGGGTACTTGTTAGGGAAGCTCCAGTGGGGTTCCAAGGGGGAATAAGAGGATGGATTTGATCAAAACATGTTGCATATATGTATGAAGTTCTAAAGGAATAAATAAAAATTCTATTAAAAACAAAAAAAAAACCCTCAAAAAACCAAAAAAACTGGAAAAGCATACCTTGAATGGGGTTTGTTACATGTATCTGTAATAGTTTTAACTTTTGCAAAAATGAAAAACTCTGTACTTATGCTGGTTATCTTTAAACTAAGCCTGACTTCGGCACCAGTATGTAGGTTTAAAAGGCTTGCTTTAAAATGTGTGCTCAAAGAACTGTTAAGTCAGAAACATTTTAGAAAGAACTTGAATTTTGAATTGTTTAAAAATATGTAGTTTAGCTACATTTGACTGTAAGGTCAGTAAGGTAAAAAGGTTTCCACAACTTCCCTTGATTCCAAATTAGTGCACACAAACTGACTGTAATGATACTGACTCTTCTTGGGACAGGATCTCACTGTGTTCAAGTCAGCCACAAACTCCTGGACTCATGTGATCCTGTTAATCAGCTTCCTGCTTAAAAAAGGTTTTACTGGTCCTATTTTGAAAGTGAGAATGGAACTGTAATGACTGAAGCAGAATAATTCTTTTGTAACTTCTGAAGGGGTGTCCTAACATGGCCTTAAACACAGACCCGCACATACACATTAAGTTCCAAACATCACCTTACCCTTTTTTTTTTTTTTTTTTTTGGTCTACCAGCATAACTGGAAATTAGTTTAATAACTATTCAAATAATTTCTTTTTCTAAGACAGGGTTTCACAGTGCAGCCCAGGCCAGCCTCCTGAGCCTCCTGCCTCAGTCTTTGAACTGTGTTACATGCCCAGTCCAACTTTTTTAGGGGGTGGGAGTAGGTGGGAGGCAGTCTATGTAGATCAAACTGGCCTAAAACTCAAGAGATCTGTTTGCCTCTGCCTCCTTGGTGTTGGCACCACACCTGGCTCTAGCCTGCCTTTTATAACTATCAAAAATAAAATATATTGAGTTCTAAACCGGAACGGTGGTGTACTCCTATAATCCCAACACTTGCAAGACGAGATGATTGGCAAGGAGTTCCAAAGGACTGTAACAGTGACTAGGTAATTTTTTAAACTGTTGTATCTTTGATCTTAACTCAGAGTACAAACTTCCATGTTCTATGATTACTGTCCCAGCACACAGCCACACCATGGAAGGAATACAACCAACAGACTGCTAAAATCAGCCCCAAACTGTAAATCTAATCTACACAGGCCTTCAGAGTTTGGTTAGTGTAGGGTTCCTCAACCTTGACAATACTGTTCTAGGTAGAATAATTCTGTTGTGTATGTGGGGGTTGTGTAGTGTATTTTAGAGCGTGGCATCTCTGTCCTATACCAAATAGATTACCTATAGCATTTGCTGACCATATTCTTCTGTCCAGTGGCAACAAGCAACAATGTCTCTGGACCTTGCCAAATGGAGGATGGGGAGCTTGGGACAGACATATCGTTGGTTGAGAACCACTGGGCTAGTCCAATTACCTCACTCAGTGGATGACATAACCCCAAACCAAAAAGTACAGGACTTTCTCAGGGTCATACACTTGTAGAGAAACTAGCAATAAAATCTATTCTTGGTGAAGACTCCTATCTCACTAGTCTCATTTTTACCACCTTTAAGTAGTACAGAGGTTATTGCTAAATGAATTATCACTTAGTCTTTCACACATATTAGAATCATTGAAAGGAAAGCAGATGTGGAAACTGGCAGAAAAGCTGGTCTTGTTTTCCCATGAAGAGCTGATTCTAAATCATCCTGTGATCTGACCTTAGAACTAAAAAGAACACTTGGAATAAAGTGTTGACACCTATAAGCTGTCCAGACATACTTGGTGATAGGCAGGAAGTTTTAAAGGCAAAAAAGAAAAAAAAATCACATTAAAAACAAAAACAACAAAAAAACCAAAACCTGTCAGGATATTCTAGGCTGACTGAATATATTTATTGTAATAAATTTCCAGTAACATCTGTACTGAATGGAAATGTTCATAAAAAAGTTTTAAGGATAATACTATTTTACTTCCGTGCCACTTCTCCAAAATGAACTGTGTAAAAAAAGAAAACACAGATATGAAAAAAGTTACTTTCAGTGTTATGTTTACAGATATTCTAGAAAAATGGAATCTAAATTATCCTGCAATATTCTGGCCTCTATTATCTTTCATGCTGAAGACAAGGAACAATATAAGGCAACACAGCAAGTACTAAAGATGTTTTTCTGTTTCTGGGTGTTTTACTGAAATCTTCTGCAGTGGGGATCAGGTGCCACGATATAAAATTATTTCCAAAACTGCTCTAAAGAGCTATTTCACAGGGCCAGGCTGTCTGCAGGTGTGCAGTACCCGCAAGAACCCCTTTTTCTACTGGGACAGTCACCAGCTTTTTGTATTTTGGTAAATGTGTTGGTGAGGCTAGGCCATCAAAACTCTCCAAACCTCCATCCATATAAAGTGACTTACGCACAATTTAACCCGGTCCCTAGCAGCCTACAAGTCCCCAGCTCCACATTTAGGAGAAACTCTGGCTGTCAAGTTGACTGTTTATTTCAGCCCTCACCTGATGACGGGTCTCTGGACTCTTGTGTGTTTGTGATGCTCAGGGCCTCAGGCATGCTAGACAGGAGTTCTACCCATAGTAGAGACCACTCTTTAAGTTATTTACTTTAAAATGCTTACAATCCTACACCCCCACCCCCTTTCTTCCCCCCTGAGGTAGTAGTGTCTCACTATGTAGTTCTGGCTGGCCAGGAACTCTCTTTAGACCAGGGCGGCCTTTGCCTCTCCAGTGCCGGGGATTAAAGGCCCGCAGCACCACACCCAACCAGGGCTCTTTCCTGTCATTTTAAGCTTATTTCCCACAACTCGGCAGTGTCTTTCATCGACTATAAAACCATTTCTTGGAAATGTATCCGGAGCGCAGAGGCGCCTTCCCGGCCTCCGGGGGAGGACGGGCGCCTAACTTCCCTAACTCCCAGATGGCAGGAGAGCGCAGTGAGCGACCCTTCTTTGCCACTTTCCACCTCTCCCGTCTCCTTCAGCTCGGGCCTTCTCTCCATACACGTTCTCCCTTTTGAAAAGGCCCGAGTCACCCGGGCGCCGCTGAGAACACGGCTCAGCTTGGCCACGGGCCGGGGGGGGGGGGGGGGGGCCGGAGGGGTCTGGGATCAAATCCTGCCTCACCGCTCTCACGTCCGTCAGGGCCCACTACCACTCGAGCCGCTAACGTCAAGGTACGTTTGTGCTTTTTTTTTTTTTTTTAACTTGTCTTCCAGGGTCTCCAAATCGGGGGGTGGGGGGGGCGCCCCTCCACCTCACCTCTCCTCTCCCCCGAGCAAACGTTCAGCCCGGGCGCTCGCACGCTCCCTCCCTGCCAGCACTCGCTCAGGGGGGGGCCTGCCGGGAAGCCTCCTCTCCACACTCCACTCCCCCCACACCGAGGCTGCCCTCTCCGGGGGGGGGGGGTCGCTTCCGAGACGGGGCTTCCTCACGGGCGGACCCCCACTTCCCCCGGCCGGGCCGGCCTCTTCTCCCGGCCACCCCTCGGCTTCCTCGCCAGGCGGGGGCGTCCCTTGGGCCGTGGCGCCGCGGGGTGCTGAGGGGAGAGAGAGGCGCTCCGAGGGCCGCGCCCCGGTCGTCGGCCGTCCCTGGGCCGCGGGGGGAGTGGAGGGCTGGAGCTCGGGCCGCCCCCGCCGCCGGGCGGGAACTCACCTTCTCTGAGGCAGGGGCGGGCGTCTACAACTACTGTCCCCCTCCCCGCCAACAACGCCGGCCGGGGGTCAGAGGCTGCGGTGGAGGTGGCGGAGAGGCAGGGACGCCGCCGCTGCCGCTGCCGCCGCCGCCGCCGCCTCCGCCGCCGAGCAGGCGGGGTGGGGGGAGGAGGCGGAGACCTAACTTCCTGAGGGGAAGTCGCCGCCACCACCCGCGGCTGACTGGACGGCGCCGGCGCCATGGCGGCGGGGCGCGCCGGCGCGCGTGCGCAGCAGGGGGGGGGGGGCCCGGCCCGCCGGCCGCTCCCTGGCCCCGCCCTCCATGTTTGCTCCGCCCCCTTCCCGCCATTTCGGACTCCAACCGGCTCTGGTTCCCGAGGGTAGTAGCTGGGGGGCCTGCCTTCTGGTCACAGCTCCCCCGCCGAGCCAGAGCGAGTCTGGAAGTGTAGGGATCCACCGGCTAAGTGTCTAAAAAAAAAAAAAAAAACCCTGCACACCTGCTTCTTCTCTTTCTTGTTGTTGTGCTCTTAATAGTAAAGTAAGTGAGGCACAGTGCCTGCTCATGATACTTTGCCGGTATAGTTCACAAATTCCCTCTTTCCCTTTCGGGTTATGCGTGTAGGAGCATGGTACTCCTCAGCGCACACACGGTATGATTATATCCAGCCTCCCCGCCCCTGGATCACTACATTCCTAAAATCCATGCTCCTATCATGTAAATACAACATCTCACACAAACACTGCTAAAGTATGTTTAGTTTTCTTTACGTTTTAACTGTTTTGTGTGGAATGGGGTGAGGGTAGGGCACCCCAGAGGTCGAACTCAGGTCCTGGGGCTTGGGAGCAATCTCCTTTGCACAAAGAACCATGTGTGGGATAGGGTCTCACATTGGCCCATGCTGGTCCCAAACTAGTGACTAAAGGGTTAATCACCTAACAGCCTCAGGTGGACTGAGAAGCTCAGCGTTGACTCAGGAAGCTTCTGATAAGGCAGCTTCTGATAAGGCGATTCCCGTGTACCACTTCCTGACTTCAGGGGAACTGACCTGCGGATGGAACCTTCCATCCCCCAAACTCGCAACTTCCTGTGCTACAAGACCCCAAGGCCCCTCCACCACTTGCTCCACATGCATAGTCTCACTTCCCTGAGAGACTACAAGCCCTTCTGATTACAGATCAGTTCTGTTTCTGGAGATGCCGGTCTTCCCTTCATTTCCAAATCCCTTTCTAACAGTAACAACCCTCTACTCTCAGCCTCTCAAGTGCTGGAATTACAAGGGTGAGCCGGAAAGCTTCACTGGGGTTTTTTTTTTTTTTTTTAAGACTGAAGACTGCGTTTCACTCACAGGCTGGCCTGGAAAACAGGGTCCTTCTCAGACTCCCAAGGGCTGGGATTAAAGCACCTTTACCCTCTGAGCCATCTGGAAGGCCCCGATTCCTGTTAACACTACACTGTTGCCTAACTCAACATGCTGCATTTGCTTCCTTCTCCAGAAATTGCCACTCCTCTACTTCCTAATGAACTCTGGAAGAAGTGTCACCTAGCCTGCACACAGGCAAGCAATCTGTTACTGAATCCATGATACCTTCCAAAGACAGGGACGGGAGACTTTTGATTGTGCTGTAATTAGAATATAACAGACTATTTATGTGAGTGCTTGATGTACATATGAACTTTTCTCTCTTCCCTCCACCCTTGAAAATATTTATTTTTAAAATACTCTTTATTATATAAAACAAATAAACAGAAACATGATGGTCTTAAAGATTTGTTTTTAATCATTTGTGTGTGTGTGTGTGTGGGTGGGTGGGGGGTATGTGGACGTGTGTGGGTATCCAAAGAGGTCAGAGGCATCAGATCCCCTGGAGTCACCACCGGTTTTAAGTGGTCTGATGTGGATGTTGGGGACCTAACAGGCACATTGCAAAAGCAGCACCGACCTCTTAACCTCTGAGCCGTCTTTCCAGCCCCTCACTTTCATTTGCAATGCTATTCTCCCTTTATAACTAGCACCCCTTTATTAAGTCTCTGAACTTTCCTTCTGTGTCTCTCACGTTGCTTATGGAATGAATGAATGAATGAATGAATGAGCGAGCCTGTGAGTACTCAGAGTCAACGGGCGCTTCCTGGCCGATTTACTACTGTCAGGCATTCTGGGCATTCTATTATCAGACTCAGCAGGGGCAGGCAAAGGTTTTCTGTAAAAGGTCAGCAGTAAGCACTTTTGGCTCGGCTGGTCATATGTTTTCCATGGGATACAGTCTGCCACTGTGCTATGAACACAACTATAGGAGATAGGTAAACAAGTGAGTACGTTTCCTTTCTGATACAGTTATGTTTACAGTAACTGAAATTTGAATTTTACCTAGTTTTTTTTTTTTGCCAGAAAATTCATTTGATTTCCGCCCCCCCCATCCCACCCATTAAAGACAGTAAAACTATTTTAGTTCACAGCTGTAAAGGGCCCTAGAAATCATCTGTTTTAAACGAACTTTGGCACCAAGTAGAACGGAAGTTGAAGGATTGTCCTTTTCCCTCTAGTGAAAACGCTTGCAGCTCCCTGGATTTGCCACTAGATGGTAATCTTTGCGAGCGCCTAGCTCAGCCAGCGGTTCTTTGGCAGAGGGGACAGACACATGGTACGTTTTCCAAGGTGTGGTAGCATCCCTGTATTTGTACAGGTACACTGAAAACTTATCACAAACCATATTGGTAATTTTTCCCCTTTGCTTCTGTCTTTCATACCTGTTCATACATATTTCCTAAATTGTGACATACACAATCCGCGTCCTGAGGCATCTGAGGTGACCAGTTTAAAGGTTTGGGACAACAATGTCTATACATAGGGGTCAGTTAAAGCTTTAGGTGCTACAAGAGGCATCTGGAAACAGAGCCTACGCAAAATTCAGGTTAGCGAGACGAACTCCTTCGTACCTTCAGAGGCTGTTTTTCCCAGGAGTGCTGGCGGTTCTGGCAACTTGGGAGGTTAATGCCAGAAATCACAAGGTTAAAGCCAGCTTGAGCTAGATACATCCTGAGACACTTTCAAAACAGCAGCAGTAGCAACAGCGGCTATCTGAAGTCATGCCTAGGTTTTGTGACGATCTACCCCTCTCCCAAACAGCCCCTAGTAGTCTTCACACTATCTTTGTCTACTTTTGAGGATATAGTCCAAGCTGGCACCTCCCCACCACCTGCCCGGGAGTAGTGCCAGTGCCCACTATCTCACTGATGCCGGCCAGAGATATTATATGTCCTTGGAAGCAAAGGACAACCTTAGACAATGGGGAACCTCTGCTCATCTCCAAAACACAGAGGGATATTTCAGGTAGGTGAAAACATTATTTAGGGTCACCCGAGTCTAGAATTCTGCTCTTTGATATTTATTTTTACTAATATAATATTACATTTGTGTATCTGTATGAAGATATGTGCACATAAGTCCAGGAGCTCTCTGAAGCCAGAGGTTTAGGATCTCCCGGGAACTGGAGTTAGAGTTGGCTGGGAGTCTCTGAACATAGGGGCTGGGAACCTAATCAGGGTCCTCTGCAGGAGTGGTATAGCACTCTCCACCTCTGAGCCAGCTCTCTAGCCTCCAGAACTCTGCATGTTCTAAACATGCAGGGAAGGTTTCAAAACACTTTAATACATACTGGATTTTTTTAAATGGATGCGTCTTCTTGTTGACTAAAGGAACATATTTCTTTTGGCTAGCACCTTTTAGCGATGCTAACTGTATCATAAAGTCATGTTATAGACATGAATTCCCCAAGCAAGATCTGTGTACCCAGAAGCAACCTGCATTTTTAGCTTTCACTAACGTAGTGAATACATTTGGAAGTGCAAAGATCTGGCCACTTTCTGTCTTCTAATGTAATTCTTCCCAAACATATGAAAATGAGCCTATTTACATACGTTCATCTGTAACACACATATATTAACTTATTGTAAGTTAATTTTCATTGTCTTCTCTATTGGGGTAAACGAATAGTTTGTTTTTAATGTGAGCTAGTAAATGACATTCTTCCTGAGTTTCATTTCAGACTTGTTTGTTTTGGTTTGGTTTGGTTTGGTTTTTCCAGATAGGGTTTGTCTGTGTAACAGTCATGGCTGTCCTGGAACTGGCTCTGTAGACCAGGCTGCCCTCAAACTCACTGAAATCCACCTGCCTCTGCCTCCCAAGTGCTGGGATTAAAGGCGTGTGCCACCACTGCCCAGCTGTTTGTTTCAGTTTGAGATAGGGTCTCACTGTGTAATCCTGGCTGGCCTGGAGTTCTCTATGAGAAATGGTTAATTATATTTACTGTAATAAGAGACAAATGTAATATTTTATGTTAGATTCCTATTGATGGGGTAACAAACTATTATAAACTTAGTGACTTAGAACAATGTAAGTTTATAACCATCTACAGTTCTGGTGAGCAGAGGCAAAAATGGGGTCCCTTTGATAGTAGGACTGAGTTCCTTCTGGAAGCTCTGGAGTGGGGATCTCTTTCTTTGCCTATTCCAATTTCCACACGTCTCCTGTGTGTCTTGGTTCATACCCACCCACTGCATCTCTGAAATCATCAGGCACTTTGCAGTGACCCTGGCCCTCTTTTCTCCATGATCATCTCCTCTGCTCCTGCTTTCTTCTGATGAGGATCACTGTGATTACATTGGTCCCACCAGGATAATATCCCTGAAAGATCCTAATTTAGTCACATTTGAAAAGGTCCTCCTGGCATGTGTCACAGTCCATTTGCTGATCCCCTACCTGAATATCACAGATCTGTTTATAAAGAACATGCTTTTCGACTCATGATTCAGAAGGCTGGGGAAGTCCATGATCGGGTGGCTGAATGTGGAGAAGTCCTCTTGTTGGTAGGACTTTCTGCAGAGGTCCAAGGTGGAGCAGGACATTGCAGTGTGGGACAGAGCATTCCCACTCACATCTTTCCTCTGACAAAACCACAGTATTGTCAGATTAAGGTCCTCTCTGTGGCCTCTTTTAATTTTTATTACTTTCCACAGAACTTTCAAATACCACAACTGGATTATGTTTACGTCCTCTCTATACCTCATGAGTCTATTTCAACATGAATTTTGGTGGACTCTGTAGATAGCATTTGTAAGGTGGCATGTATCGTTCTGGGGATTTGAACTTGGACATCTTCTAAGGGGCTTCTGCCTTCCACCACATCACTCTACTGTGATAAGATGAATAGCCATAGACAAAGCTAAAGCTCAGAGTTTTTGTCTTTCATCTCTGTCTCAGGTAAGGTAGATGTCTTCCTCGACTGTGGGGCGTTTACCCACCACCCCCACAGTTCCCCCAGAGTTTTCTTGAGTGCGAGCAGCAGGAAATGTTAAATAGAAGGATTTATTGCGGAGAATCTTGCGGAGATAAACAGATAGAAAATAAAGGATAGCCTCGAGAGGGCCTGGAACCTTGTCCAATGGGCCCTGACTGTCTCTGTCTGCCCTAGGGTTTTTATAGAGACACCAAGGGGTGGAGCAAAAGACCTCCTCCCCCAGCACAGCCAAGTGCAGACCATCTCAAATACCTGCACTTAGGCCCGTGGTCCTAATCATCCTCTATGCGGACCTGCTGGGTAAAGCCACGAGGAACCTGAGACCGGGCTCCCACACTCGACCATGGCTTAGACTGAACATGTCCCAGTACAGCATCTGGAGTAGGTTTGAGGCCTTGCCAGACTGAGTGCTGTCCTCAGAGCAGTTGTTGAAAAGACTGTGAGTTACAGAGCAATGTTGATACAGGACACTTATTGGAAGCTAGCTGGGTTGAAAAAACTCCTTCATAGTTTCGTTTTCACCCTCTTGGCATCAGTGATATTTAGTTTTTTGGTTTTTATTGTCTTTCTTATACTTCCTTCTCCTCTTATTCTTTGAGAGAGGGTCATCCTATTTAGCCCGTGACCTCAAACTCACAATCCACCTGCCCTAGCCTCTACAGCGGCTGGTGTAGTGGTTTGAATGAGAAGGCTCCCATAGGCTCATGTTGGAATGCTTGGTTCCTAGTGGGTGAACTGTTTGGGAAGAATTAGGAGATGTGGCCTTGTTGGAGGAGGTATGTCATTGGGAGTTAGCTTTTGAGGTCAGCCACACTAGGCCCAGTCTCTCTCCCTCTGCCTCCATCTTGCAGATAAGATACAAACTCTCAGCTACTGCTCTAGCACCACGCCTGCCTGCCTGCCTGCCTGCCTGCTACAATGTTTCCTGCCATATGGTCATGGACTAACTGTTTGGAACTGGAAGCAAGCCCCAAATGAAATGCTTTCTTTTTTAAGTTGCCTTGATCATGGTGTCTCTTCACAGCAACAGAACAGCAACTGAGACAGCTGGGATTGCAGGTGGATATCACCACACCCAACCCTGATGCTTTCCTTTTTAGGCACTAGTTTAAAATGCTTCGAGTTGTTTTGCTTTTTGGGATATATCTGAAATCACTGAGATTCTCTAGCTCCTGTGTTCTAAGAATCAGGACATGCTGGATGACAAGAGGGTTGGATGTGTTTCCAAGGCTCAAAGGAGTTTTGAAACGTGCAACTTGGCTGAAGATACATTGGAACTTATTGGCTGAACATACATGGGAACTTCTGGGTCATCCTGATAACTGGGGGAGGAAATGACAGAATAAAAATAAAGCAAAGTGGCCACCACTGGACAAGTGCTTTAAAATGCCAAGAGCTATGCTATCCTTGCGCATATCACCCCATGTGATGATCACCACAACCCAGTGAGGCAGAGATTTCCACCCTTGTTCCACAGGTTCCATTTTCAGGTGGTAGTAGCAGGCTCAGCGCACATGAACTACTGCATTTGCAAAGATCTAGGGCAGAGGGTCCTCTGTAAACCAGTGTGCCATGGTTTGTTTGTATTGCTATACAGAATGTGAGAGACCGTACAATTTATAATGAGCAGACATTTGTTGACTCACGATTCTGGAGGCTGATGAGAAACCTTCTTGCTGCATCACAGAAGGGCAGAAGATCCCCTGTGGGCAGAAGATGTGGTGGGAGAGGCCAAACTCATCCTTTTTTGCAGGAATCCATTCCCTTGATAATGGGATTGATTGATTTATGAGAGCAGAGCTCTAATGAACTAATCATCCTTGAAGATGCTGCCTCTCCAGAGTGCAGCACTGATTAATGTTTTTTCTGGAACTCAGGACAAGTCTCACTCGGTACCTGTGGCTCCTCCCAGTGCTCCTCCCCTTCCCCCTCCCAGGGCTGGGCTTCTGCTTCCCTTCCCCCAGCCTGGTTCCTACCCCTGTCTCTTGACTTCTTGGCCTCTTGGCCTGGGCCACCTCTCAGTCCGGAGCTCCTCTCTTGCTCTCCCTCCCCTTGTCTCTTCTCACGGTCTGGTTCAGTGTGCCGGCCATGCTCAGCCTGGACTCTTCCCTCGGCCTGCTTTCTCCCTTATGTCTACAATAACAATCTTCTCCATACTTCAGGAGTAGTCATGTCCTCCTCATTTTATTTCTTTTTTTAAAATGCAGTTATATTTTCCGACACTTGAACTTTGAGGGTCAGACTCAAACCGTAGCAATCGAGAATCTAAACACATCCAGGAACTAAAAATACTACACAGAAGCTAAACCACAGCGCAGAATCTGTAAGAGCCTTTCTCCTCAACCTCAGCAAGATCTGCCTGCTGGCCAAGGAGTGGTGGTAAATTCACAGGGAGTTTTAGAATTATCCCTATAATGTCTTCCCTCCTGGGTGGGAGGAAGGGCAGAACACGTTGATGTTTTCCTGACAGCAGACTTCTGCTTGAGGGGCGTTGGATGGAAAGACAGGGACGGGTGCTGTTAGTTTCAAAGCCTGCCGTCTCTGTATCCAGCTCTGCACCATCAGTGATGTTCTAAGAACGGGGACACCCCTGACCTCCAATGCTATGTGCTGCTATGAGAGACCCAGGAGACATTGGAGAGAAGGATGCCCCTTGAATCGTAAGAGTGCTGGTATGTATATGCATATGCCAAAGGCCCAGTTTTGTTTCTGCTATTTATTTCTTGCCATCGGGGGAGACTGGGAGGGGATGGGGCAAGGGGCCCATCTCACTTGAGAAAGTCTGGGTCTGACAGCTGAAGGGTCCCAGAGCAGCCAATGTACCTTGCCTCTTCTCTCTGTCCATTCCAGTTGTCTGCTTTTGATTGACAGAGGCATCTGGGAGCTAAAAATATCCTACTGACCAAGTGCTCCTGATTTCAACTCAAGCTGAACATGACTGCAGTCCAGAACATAGCACATGCAGGGATTATCTTCGAACAGGTTTTCAAAATCCATCAGGCTCCGCGTCAGGACCACACGAGCCTGTGGTCGTTTCCTGTCTTGGCGTCTTTTCTGGGAGGTGAATGAGACCTCTGTCAGGTCGCTGTTCGTTTGCCTTTTCCCTCCAGGAGCAGTGGTGGAGGGGGAGGTGAGGACCTAGCTGCCCGGAGGAGTGGGGAGGGGAGGTGGCCTGTCCATTTATAGACCTGCTCTCTGGGACAACGGAGGTGCTAAATAGCACCAAGGACAAGAGGCTTGGCTCAGTGCGAGCCACCCACTGCACGGGCTGACGGAGTCGGAGATGACAAGAGGCAGCATGGAGAATGTGGAGGTCTTCACTTCGGAGGGCAAAGGCAGAGGTCTGAAGGCCACGAAGGAATTCTGGGCTGCGGACGTGGTCTTTGCCGAGCGGGCTTATTCTGCAGTGGTTTTCGACAGGTATGGCACGCGGGGAGTGGCCTTCTCCACCGCTGGCTTGACTGGTGCCAAGCTCTCAGGTTCAGGCTCCCAAAGTCATCAGGGGAAGGAATCCAGTTCATGGGGTCCTAGATTTGTGATGAAAATTTTATTACATTTATTTAGGGGTGTGTGTGCAGAACACACACCTGCCACAGTGTGGAACACACACCTGCCACAGCGTGGAACACACACCTGCCGCAGTGCGTGTGGGAAGGCCAGAGGATCATTTTCAGTGTCAGTTCTCTCCTTCTACCATGTAGGCTCCAGGGATTGAACTCAGGCAGTCAGGCTTGTTGGCAAGCACCTTCAGCTGAGCCATCTTGCTGGCCCTTCAAATTGCACTTCTTTTTTTTTTTTTTTTTTGGTTTTCCGAGACAGGGTTTCAACGTGTAGCTTTGCGCCTTTCCTGGAACTCACTCTGTAGCCCAGAATGGCTTCGAACTCACAGAGATCCGCCTGGCTCTGCCTCCCAGTGCTGGGATTAAAGGCGTGGGTCACCACCGCCCGGCCCAAATTGCACTTCGGATCACTCTGCTGGTATTTCTTTTCTGCAGGGAGTCGTGTCTCTGACTCTTTGTGGCCCCTATCAGAGTGGCAGAGCTGAGCAGGGGCCTCTAGGCACTTTATCCTAATCACAGAGAACATGTCCGAGAGGCTGTGAGGGTGGGGGGTGGGGTGGATGGGTGTGGTGCAGCAGGAAACATTTTCTTACCAAAAAACAAACAAACAAACAAACAAACAAACCCCAACTTACTTTTAATTTCTTTGGAAATACAAACGAGGCTAAATAAACCTGTATAAACCCATTATAAGTCTGTATAAACCCGTTAGAATATAAAACATTTGTTGGAACTTTAAGAAATTAGCTCTAATTATTAGCAACACAAGAATCCATTTACTTCCAAATATTAGAGTCTTGCCCAGTGTACCTCAGGGGTAACTTGTGCTTTACTTTAAATCAACTTTTCCAGAACATTCTTATGTTATTTCATACATTGATTTGCACCGAACAAGCTGGTTAGCCACAGTTTGTTCGTTTAGTTTTTTGCTGTTGTTGTTGTTTTTGTTTTGCTTTCATGAAAGTCTATCAGCTTAGAGCTTGCTTTTTCCTTTAAACAAAGTTTCTGAGTCTATCCTTGCGAGGACAGTAAGTCTATAGATATTCATTTGTTTTATTACTTTAAAAATTGCGTGTGTGCTCCTGCACGTAGGCATGCACGTGCCATTATGTACATGTGGAGGTTAGAGAACAATTCCTGGAGTCAGTTCTCTCCCTCTGCTCCATGGGTTCCAGGGCTTGAACTCAGGTCCTCGGCTTTGGCAGTGGGACCTGTACCTGCTGAGCCATCTCGCTGGTCCTGATACATCTTATAAATCCCCAGATATCTAGTTATTTTAACTATGTGTAGAGCTTTCCATATTGATCCATGAACTACATGGGATATCCTGTAGTAATACTTCTGTAAATATTCAACCCTATAAATATATGTACAACATTTACTCATCTATTTTCCAATCAAGACACATTTGATGAGTTCCTATTTCTCATAAAATCAAATATTCCTGCAATTAAAATGTGTTCCAATATTCACAGGTACACGGTGTGATGATTCTTCTCTAGGCCATCGGTGTTCACAGGTACACAGTGTGATTCTTCTTTAGGGCATCAATGCTCACAGGTACACAGTGTGATTCTTCTTTAGAGCATCAATGCTCACAGGTACACGGTGTGATGATTCTTCTCTAGGCCATCGGTGCCCACAGGCACACAGTGTGATTCTTCTCTAGGCCATCGGTGCCCACAGGCACACAGTGTGATTCTTCTCTAGGCCATCTGTGTCCACAGTTACACAGTGTGATTCTTCTCTAGGGCATGTAACTAGAAGGGGCTTGCTGTTTTCAGCTTTAAAAGGGTCTGTCAAAGCTATATTCCCATTTCCCTACCACCCTGTCTACACGGAACTATCTAAATTTTAAAATAGCACTTAAGCCTTATTTAAAAACAAGCGAACAACCCTCCTACAAAACGACTACATTAGAATGGCGGTATTTTCTGAGCCACAGTTGGAGTGACCTGTCTGGTGTTTGTGTGGCTTGAATGAAGACGCCCTCTGATGAGCTGGGCGGGTGAGTGCTTCAGAGATAGCTGGTTAGCATTTACATTCTCTTCCCGCCCCCCTCCCCAAAAAAAAACACACACAAGGCCTTCCAAGACCTTCAGGAAAAAAGGCTGTGAACCAGGGAATGTGGCTCATTGCCATCCAAGGAGTAATCGGGAGCCCAAGTGACATGAATAGCATTTCAGAGAAGTGTGTGTGTGTGTGTGTGTGTGTGTGTGTGTGTGTGTGTGTGTGCGCGTGCGTGCGTGCGTGCGTGCCTGCGCACACGTGTGAACTAGATTCAGAGTTAAAATATAAAACCACAGCAACACACAGATGCCACATGCTGCTCTTGGTTTGGTCACCACCATTGTGAACCTCAAAGTCCCCAGAGCCAGTATAGCCAGATTCTGTCTCAAGACTCTGGAGTTGAGTGGTGCGTTCCAGTAATTTTTTTTTCTTTTTTTCTGAGATGGGGTCTCACTATGTAGTCCTGGCTGGCCTGGAACTCACAGAGCTCCATCGACTCTGCCTCTCCCTACGGAACTCTGGATTAAAGGTGTGCACCACCACACCTGGCTCTCTGTAAAGAGTTTTTATTAAATTGTCGGGCACCTCCTTCTGGCTCGCTTCATTCGTTTTACTATGAAGTGGAACTTTTACTAGAGCACTTATTTTTTTCCATTTAATAATTGAAATGTCTTCTGTGTTTACCTTTGAGTCTGTGTGCATGTCATGTGTGAGTGTGAGCATGCCATGCCATGGCTGGTGTGTGGCAGTCAGTAGACAACCTCAGGTGTTGATCCTCACATTCCACCTTGTTTGAGGCAGAGTTTTTTCTTTTTTCTCTCTTTTTCCTCTTTCTTTCTTTCTTTCTTTCTTTCTTTCTTTCTTTCTTTCTTTCTTCCTTCCTTCCTTCCTTCCTTCCTTCCTTCCTTCCTTCCTTCCTTCCTTTCTTTCTTTCTTTTTTGACACAAGGCTTCTCTGTGTAGCCCTGGCTATCCCGGAACTTGATGTGTAGACCAGGCTGGCCTTGAACTCAAAGTGCTGGGATTAAAGTCGCACCACACTGGGCAAGGCAGGGCAGGGTCTTTTGTTTCCTCTGTAAATGGCAGGGAGAGTGGCCTAGGAGCTTTTGGGGATTCTCCTGTCTCTATCTCCTAGGAGAGCTGGGATTACAGATGTGTGCTATGGCATCTAACTTCATGTGGGACATGGGATTCGAACTCAGGTCCTCGTGCTCTGTGAGCAAGCACTTTGCTTGCAGTGCCATCTCCCCAGCCCTTGTTTTGTTCCTTTTTACAATGATACCTAAGCTTTAAGCTTCTTTCTTGGGTTGGGGATTTAGCTCAGTGGTAGAGTGCTTGCCTACCACGCACAAGGCCCTGGGTTCGATCCTTAGCTCCCCCCCAAAAAAAATTGTTTAGTTTTTATTTTTTGTGATATGGATATGCATGTTGGAGTGTGCATGCATTTGTGTAAGGTGGAGGCCATAGGTTGCTGTTGGGTGTCTTCTTCAATTACTCTCTGAGCTATTTATTTGTTTATTTTTTATGTGTACTGGTGTTTTGCTGCATGTCTGTCTGTGTGAGGATGGCAGGTCCTGGAGTTACAGACAATTGTGGGTGCTGGGAACTGAACCCAGGTCCTCTGGAAAAGCAGTCAGTGCTCTTAACTGCTGAGCCGTCTCTCCAGCCCCTCTGTACACTCTTTTTGACAGGATTTCTCACTGAACACACAGCTCACCCACTCAGCTGGACTGATTTCTCGGAGACCCTAGTGATCCTCCTGTCTCTGCCGCCCCAGTGCTGGGATTACAGTTTCTATGGTGCTTGGTGTCTGGACTAAGGGCCTCATTCTGCTGCATAAGCACTTTGCCCCTTGTTTCTTTATTTTAATTTAGTTCCTGTTGCCATCGTCATTCTTAATTTTTCGTGCTCAGTAAATTAAGTCAATTCTGTGTCAAGCATGATGAGAAGATGAAAGGTTTTATTCTTAACAATGACTTGGGCTTTGGCAAGGAGAGGAGATGCACATCTCTTTCTCTGGTTGTCTGTCACCACTATCACCATCATGACTATCATCATCGTTACCACCATCACTACCTACACCACCATTACCACCATCGCAATCACTATCACCACCATCACCATCACTACCACCACCATGGCTATCATCATCATTGCCACCTTCACCACCATCACCACCATCACAATCACTATCACCACCATCTCCATCACTACTACCACCATCACCATCATCATAATCACTATCACTACCATGGCTATCATCATCATTGCCACCTTCACCACCATCCCATCATCACAATCACTATCACCACCATCACCATCATCACAATCACTATCACCACCATCACCATTATCACAATCACTATCACCACCATCACCATCATCACAATCACTATCACCACCATCACCATCATCACAATCACTATCACCACCATCACCATCATCACAATCACTATCACCACCATCATCACAATCACTATCACCACCATCACCATCATCACAATCACTATCACCACCATCACCATCATCACAATCACTATCACCACCATCATCACAATCACTATCACCACCGTCACCATCATCACAATCACTATCAACCCCGTCACCATCATCACAATCACTATCACCACCGTCACCATCATCACAATCACTATCACCACCGTCACCATCATCACAATCACTATCACCACCGTCACCATCATCACAGTCACTATCACCACCATGGCTATCATCATCATTGCCACCTTCACCACCATCACCATCATCACAATCACTATCACCACCATCACCATTATCACAATCACTATCACCACCATCACCATCATCACAATCACTATCACCACCATCACCA